CAAATCTCTAAATATCTAGGTATCCAGGGTGAGGGTGAAAGTTCGTAGCCTCACCCTCACCCTGGATACCTATATATTTAGAGATTTGACTCTTGAAAGATATACTGAACAGTTACCATTACTTGTAACTGGTCGTTACCGTTACTTGTACGGTAACTGCTTGCACGTTACCGTTACAAAGAACGGTAACCGATCAGCAATTACAGTTACTGTAACGATAATGGTAACTGTCACAGTCCTAGTGAGGCACCACTTTTTCGGGTCTGAGTCGACTCCGAGTCAAAATGCTTCGAATCCAGGTACGCGTTCGAGTCGCATCAAAAATCGATTCAGGTCACTTCGAGTCATTTCGGGTCATTTTCTAGAGGGAAACTTCCTCCTGACATATCAGCATGAAGAAAAAAATAAAGCTCAAGCAGAGTCGGAGAGAAGTACTTTTCGTATTCAGCACACTCGATAAGCTAACAGATTTTCTGTTTTTGACCAGACGTATTGTCAAAAGTTTAGGAAAAACTTTTTTAACAAAATAGTGAGAAAAAGTTTCTGTGATAAAATAATATTAATTTCAAAATCTTTCTTGAACTTTTGGTGATACGGCTGGCCAAAAATAGAAAATCTTCTGGGTTACTGAGTATGCTGAATACGAAAAGGCACTTTTCTCCCACTTTGCATAAACTTTATTTTTCTGTCGGTGATATACTCATTTCCCAAGAACAGCTTGGAGCTCACTTCTACTGTTTAAGCATTTATTTATACTCAATCTGTTGAACATTTGCTACGTGTTATCTAGTCTCTTGGTCTTTTTTGTAACCTGGATCTAAAGATGGGTACCATATAATTCAATTCACATAAAAAACGGACAGAAACCTTTTAGCAAGTTCGAATAAAATAGAATATTTATTTTGTTTTTGAAAGATAATATTTGAATCAATACCTTCTGCTAAAATATAATAAATACCGTCATAATAATCCAGAATTGCACATGACTGACTCGAAAGGAACTCGAGTCAGTTTGTCGAGTTTTTCGCCTCGAGTCCGAGTTTAAGTCCGAGTTCGAGTCCAAGTCATAGAAAATGCGACTCACCTCTCCCATCTCTGATTTAGTTAACGACAACATTAATGGTTAATTTTTTTAGTTTACTGTTATTAAAGGGACATTTTAGTTATCCAGCTAATTGTCAGTGGATACCTAGTGAATGTGCTAAAGCTTGAGTACTCAAAGTCGTATTAGAGTAAGAAGTATTAGTGGAAAAGTATTAGAGGAAGAAATGTGAGAAAAATTACTTCTTGTACTTCTCGTGCACGTGTACATTTGAGAAATGACTGACTGGTACCCTGCTTCTAGCGCAACAGGACTCGGCATAGATCACGTTTTCGTCCATTCGGCTCACGTTCTACTGGCGTAACTAAATTTTCGATCGTCTACATCTACTGTATTCCTTTTCTTGCCGTTTCCACGAAGAAGATTTATCTTCAAGACGAATGGATAATCTTATCTGCTCATCCGTTTTGTTCTACATATTCGGGAAATACAACAAGGGGTGTATGTTGACATGACATGGATGGCAAGTTTTCATCACTCACTGATCCATTATCGTCAACTAGTAATTTTGTTAATACACAAGTTATAAACAAAACTACGACAAAAAATATCTGGTTTAGACTGAAGAATTGTATAGAATGTATCCGGTTGTCATGTATCGTTCGCTCGTTCCAAATCTTTCCCCATCCGACCACCTGAACCGTGTGGAGTTCTCCCTAGTGAATGTACTTGGTAAAAGTACTTGGAAAGTACGTGACAAGTTAAACACTTGGCAAGTACTTGAGCAAGAACTTGCCAAGTGTTGTTACTTGACTTGCTTCAGCCAAGTACTTGAACAAGTCAGTCACCCTTTTCTTTTGCATTGATCACTTGTATATAAACACTACAATATCAATCGTTATACGCCTATAAAATAAACTTATATATTTCTATTCAGTTAAGCAAACTTAGTAACCGTCCGTGTATTTACGCTACAAAAGTACGGTATAGCTCCAGAATATGTGTAAACTACAAAATAAAAATAAATAGAACAAGTACTTGACTGAACCTTTTCAAGTAAATTTACTTGCATTGTATCAACCAAGTACTTACGTTTCATATGTCAAGTACTTGGAAAAGTCAATAAGTATTTGGCTCAATTACATCCACTAGGGCTGGTGCTTTACTGATGAGAAACCACTTAAAATTTAGTAACAAAATATACATGAAGTTTTTATGAATATATGTGAAGTTTTTAGTTAGTAAATATACTCACCACGTGGACAATGCCAACATGCTAAGTGCCATTGCCTTTGAAACTGATAGTAGAATGCAGAAGAAACGATTTGGTTGAAATAGAACATCAAGTTCAAAAGTGATGATAAATATTAACGATAATGTATTTGATATGCATAATGCTGTTAAATAAGCATGAGTGGATAAATGACGCATTCGACGGCGTAACAGTGTGCATACAGCCAATATGTTACCTAAAAGAACGGGATTTACATAAACAGTTTGCACTCTTATTTACTGTATATATCCGAATTGGAAAAGAACTTATTTCTACTTAACAAATGGATAAATATTTCCAAACTGGATTAATATCTGCGTCAAAATTGAAATAGCCTAACTTATCGCACACTAATCGATTTCTCGTTGCCAGAACTGATCTTTCTCACGGCTTGTCCAGCTAACGGTCCCCTTTTTTTCGCTCGTTTTCAAAAAACTATTGCAATAAAGCTACAAGGTAATCTAAAATTGAAACTAGGTAATTAAGTAAATTAAACATTTCTCTATAAGATGAAAAGCGTCTGGGTTCTAAACGTTGATTTGTTATGAAAATACAACTGTTGTACAAACAGCCCAAAAGATTGACTTGAGGCTGTCTGAAAAACGTGTCTAAAAGAGTGAAGACAAACAGACGTAAATTGAACAAGTATACCAGCTTGTAGAAAATTGTTTGCTCTACAAAATGTGATAGCTTTTCAAGTTCGAAACTATTCTAATTAATCTGTATTAATCAAAGAAAAACCAAAAAAACGATAACCAAATAAAACTATTAAGCATTTGTTAAATAGAAATAAGTTAAGTAATTTTTTGAAAACGAGCGAAAAAAGAGGACTTGGATAGGTCGCTCCGTCTTCCGTAGTATATTTGGCGTTATATTCTTTAATACATTAGTGCAAAATTTGTTATTACCTACAACTCCAATAATACACACAGCAACAGTTAACCATCGAACTACTGCCCGCGGTTCTCGTTCTAATCCACCTTCATACAAGACTTCAGTCCAGATCAATGGAGCAGCTGGTGCTGTTGTTATTGTTGTTGACATCGTTGAAACAATTTAGTAATTAAGTAGGTACTTTGAAATAAAGTTCGTTGTTAATCAAAATAACCAGTATATTAAAACTGCATTATTCTGTTCAAGAAATGGGAAGAGAAAAATCAAATTTTTTTTAGTAATGTTTATTTGAAAGCTGATGCCAAGTATATTATTTTTTTCATTCTAAAAAAAAAGTATATTAACAATAATGTCAATGGAAGTTGAATAGATTCTATTTTAAGACAGTAGTAGAGGATAAAGAAGAAGGATGCGCAGACTTTTTGACAAAAATACAAGATGAAACAGAAGAATGAAGAGAGAAAACAACGTAAAGATTATACTTGACGAATTTTTTTTGAATACATCAACAAAAGAGCAATCACAAATAATGTTAAACTGTAGAAATTTCATTCAAAAGGCTTGTCAGCATAACTCATATAGAGACTAAAAAGATAAAAACTTATGACAAAATGCTAATATTAAAGAAGTACAGTCATTTTAGAGAATGTTCAATACTATGAGAAGAAAATGTCCGCTACTGAGAAAGAAATTAAGAGTGTATTTATTAGCAAACGGAAAAAGAAGGTAAATTTATAGGATAAAAAAAACATGTTCTATAGCTTAACACTAGAACGCCTGTAGTGGTCATTTTCATCGTTTTTTTATTTTTATCCCTAATAAAACAAACTGCATACAATTTATTTAAAAATAAATTATGTCATAACTTTTAATTTGTCCCAAAAAAATTATTTTTTGCAGAATTTTTAATTCATTTTTTAATTCAGAACCATTTTTAATTATAAAATTTTAAAAAAAACAGTAATGATCAAAATGACCACCGCTTTGGGCGTTCTAGGTCATGAAAATTTCTAGACATTCTAATGTTAAAATATTCTTAAAATTTAAAATTTTCATACATTACGATATTTATCTGAATCGGAATTTTCAGATATGAAGATGTGTACTCATCGATTAGATAAATATTATAAAAAATAACAAAAACAATGGCTATACAATAACTATTAATCGATTAGACAAAATTTAAAGTGTTCATTTAGATTAGACATTGAACAGTAATCAAATAACATTCTAGACATAAATTATATCTTTACTGTTATTTAATAAATAGAGAGATACAATATGTTTATTATGTAATAAAACAACCATATGATCAAGAATTGAACTCTTCATTAACTGAAAAATCTCTCATGTATAAATATTAAACTGAATTTTATAGTAAAATTATTTTCTTAACTCTCTTTCTCTCTCTCTCTCTCTCTCGTCGTCATCATTTTTTCTACGGCGCTTTAGACTGATAAATATCCAAATAAAATAAGTTGTCACAAACGTGAAGAAAAAAACACTTTAACTGTGAAAAAGATTTTTAAAGAAAAGAATATTATTATCATGTATTTATAATAATGCGGTGGACTAATAGCGTTTTTCTAACAATAGGCATCTAATGTGCTGCACTACTTTTCTTCAACCATGATCATTTAAGTTCAATAATTGCGTGCAAAATGAAGACGGATTAAAGTCAAAATTTTTTTTATTCATAAAAAAATAAAAATGAGAATCTTTTATTTTAATAAGAACTTACTTCTCGATTATAATAAATCTAATATTTTAGAAAAAAAAAAATAATATACATATATTATATCTTTTTTTTCCACTAAATTAACTAACAAAAATGTTGACTAGTGACATTTATTTTATTTTATTTTTTTTTTTAATATAATTATTATTATCAAGATTATAAAAGACAAAATGATCCGTTTCTGTTCAACTAATCGTTATTATTCTAATGTAGATTTCAGAATATAAGAAATAATGAAAGAAAATCTTCTTTAAAACTTGATCAGAAATTATTCATTTAGGAGGTATATAAATTGATAAGAAAAAAATTTATCTGTAAATCTCTCTTATTATTCTTTGGAGACAATGTAATATTAATCTGCAGAGTTAATAACATGATATTAATACTGTCCAAAAGGCTTTCATTATAGAGAAAATTAATATATAATCAATGTTACTTTCTTTTCCTATGAAAGGAAAATATGCGTCTTTTAATTTTTCTTTTTTCGATCTATTATTAGACTACATATTAATGTATATATATATATATATATATTTTTTTTTTTCTTCGTTTTGCACCCACAGTAATATATATATATATATATGTAGAGAGAGAGACAGAGAGAGAGGCAAAAAGATATGTCAAAGAAACATAATGAAAATATTCGCATCTGTAATAAATGATTTTATATTTAGGTATTTTATACAAAAATTTAACAAGACTATCCATTCAATAAATGCTTTTCTTTTTTAACAAAAGCAAATAAAATCTTTTTTCGTCTCTTTTTTTGATGTGCAAAAATTTTGCACCAAACTTTTTGTTTTTTGAATGCTATTTTCGTTTGCAACATGTCGCATAACAATAGTCAAAAATAAACTCGTTCTTATATACTTTATTATTACTACTTCTTACTTAAGACAAAATAATATAAGAGAAATCCAAAAATAATTGAACTAAATTATTTGATATAAAAACAAATAAATGTTTTTGTTTAGAATGATAGCCATACATAATAGAATACACGATATAAAACGCTGTAAAAAAGAAAAACAAGCCAAATACATCTGGTAAAATTGAGCTATAAAAAAGATTCGAAACACAACTCGATCAGTTTAAGAACATTCTCATCTAACAAAGGCACCTCACAAACTGTCACATGGCTTTTTCAATCAAATCTAGTGGATTATAGGTTATCAACTATGTTAAATCCGAATATAATAGTTGTAGCTGTCCAGTGATCTTCAGAGAGAGTTTTTCTGGAAAACCAGTTTTTCAAAAACTCTAAAAAATAACCAAAACATTTCTTAAAGAGGCATAATTGTAGCTCACACATTTCTGATTAAATTGAGACATCCCCAGCTATACACGACCTTTCTTTGCTAAGTTATAAAGCCCTAAATTAATTTCTTCTTATTTCTGTGTTATTGAGCTGACAATGAACATTTAGGGCTTTTGTTGTAAATTCTATAATTTTGGTCGTGTATAGCTGGGAGAGGTCTCGTTTTAATCAAAAATGTGCGAGCTAGAAGCATGGCTCATTAAGAAATCTTTTGGTTATTTTTCAGAGTTTTTGAAAAACTAGTTTTCCAGAAAAACTCTCTCTAAAGATCGCTGGACAGCTACAACTATTATATTCGGATTTAGCATAGTTAATAACCTATAACCCACTAGGTTTGGCTGAAAAAGTGATGTGACAGTTCGCGAGGTTCCCCGTAAGTCAGATGGGGAACATTAGATACTGTTTTCTATAGCTATTGGGTACATTTGACGAACACAGATTTATGTGCGACGAAAGTTAAAAATAAACGTGTTTGTAGTTTCAAAATATTCTTTTTTAGACTAGAGGGCTCCGATTGATTCGATGTTAACAATCAAGACCAACCAACATATAAAAACATGATGTTTAAATTTTCTCATTATAAAGTTTTTGACGCATATTGTATGTCAAAAGCTAAAAATAAGAGACTATCCATACATTCTGTGATTTTAAGTGCAGTCGGGTTAAATTTGAACAAACAACGACATAGTAGCGATGAATTACAATGACAGGGTTTCATCTGATACAATCGTGCAATAAACTAATAGTTCATCATTTTTAGTGTTCTAGACAATTTTCTCACTTGATTGAAAACTAACTTGTACGTTGTAGCGATGGATAGTTGTATGCAAAATTTTCAAAACGATATACTTTTAACGTTTTGAGCTCGATCATAATAACCAGAACAAATCTGAAAAGTGATTTTAATAACTAAAATAGTTTTCAATCTGAATCGATATGCATGTATCTTTCGTTAAAATTTCGTAATATAGAATCTCTAATAGTCCAAGTCTCTGAGTTGAATCGGTAACTTTTCGCACACAACAAACTCGTATAGAACAAAAATTTCTGGACAAAGTGAAACATCTCTAAATTCACTAAAACATTCTTATGTGAAACTGCATTCATTATACGAAAGCGTCGAGAGAGATTTTTTTGTTGTTTTTTCCTAGTTTTTATGAGGTGAGTTCTTTCGTAAAATGAATGTGTAGTTTAACATAAGAATGTCGTATATTATATATGTTCTTTATTGAAGGGATCGAGTGAAGAATCTACATAATATTTATTTTGAAAAACCGCTCAAAAAAAGAATTTATAAAATATTAATAATAGGAGATTAATAATTTCCCAAGGCGATGGAAAAGATTTTTTTACCACTCATCAATTGCACTGTAAGATCAATAGTCATCAAACTTGTTCTTTACATTCTTTTATATCTTAAAATAATTTTAACACAACTCTAGCATTTAAAATTTTAACATACCTAATACACGAAGTTTTGTATGGTATATAAGATATAACGATAGAGATCATTCTGTTTTCTTCCATTTTCTTGTTCGATTCTTTCTTTGTTCGCTATAAAATAACAACATCATACATGAAAAGCTATCAGTATATAGATCTCTCGTTATTCTATCACACATATCTTAGTCATGAAAAGATAATTAGACTAAGAATAGAATTTCTAAAAAGGCAAAAGAAAGGAACACTCGTTCACATAATATGCCTACCTTTTACAAGAAAAAGAGAGAGTATAAGAAAATGGTCCAACAATTGGATTTTAACGAAATTTTCAGCATCTGTTCACGTATTAGTAAAGCATATTTTTTAATATTATGAGTTGGTCAAACAAGAAATGACTTTTATCCACATATTGAATTGTTATTAAACAAATTTTTTTCCTAACAAATAGAAATACTTTTAGATAAGAGTATAATCGTAGAAATAGGAAAAAAAATGTTTATTTAGAAATAATTTTAACTGATAAACTCCAGAGATGGACGAGTACGAGTATACTCGAGTACAAAATTCCTAGTACTCGTATTCATACTCGGGACCTTTTTTACCGAGGATTCCAAAAGATATTCCAGTATTCCCAAAAAACTGGTGACCTTT